CACACACACACACACACACACCTCTGACAAAACACATTACTACTCTGTAATATAGTGCAGCACAGGGCAGCACTGCCAGCTTTTATTAATAGGACTATGCAGGCAGAGAGAGAGAGAGAGAGTGTTGCAGCTCTTGGCGAGCTGGTTCAGAGACTGGTTGCTCTCTCCTCATGAGACTGGTTATTACTCCCCCTCTCGAAGAAAATTAAACAACTGTTGCAGTAACTCAAACAGTTTGAATATGACTTCCTGTCTGAGACTGAATTACAGTCACATCGACTTCTTCAAGGCGTTTCATCAGTCAGACAACAGAATGTTTAAAAATCCCAAAGAACATTAATCAGCAATGATAAGTTTCTTTACTGTGGCCTCTGCCGAACACAGTTTATTAATCTGCTTCAGAGCTGTAATGAACACCTGTCCAGTCAGTAAATATAATGATTATCATCATCATCATAAAAGTTAGTCTTACACCACAACCCTGCTGATGAAAGAGTTTAAGTAACTTCACTACTAGCATCACTACTCAGAGACAAATCTACTATTAAGAAAATACTCGACAGTCTGACCTAAGCCACTCTGAAGGCATAGATCAGAGACTGTATACAAATATGCACAATGACGGTCCACTTCCTCCCACTAAATATAAAACTAAAATATTGTGGGATTGAACATTGATACGGACATGCTCCACCAATCATGAGACGTCATTTATAACGTATCAGTCAAGGAAACACTGCACAGTTGTTGGATATCAGGAACTCAAAATATCATCACACGGCCTTAATAATAAATATTAGACAAAAATGGTCAAATGTAAAAACAGCATTTTAGTCCAAATTTGACTGATCGGCTCACTGCAGTGCTGACAGCGCTGACTCCATCTACCAATGAGTTTTACCAAGCCACAATAATCGAAGGGTTCAACCCATTACCTGCAGTTAACTCAGCGGTGCATCACCCAGGAAACAGTTGACCAATCAGAAGAGAGTCTCATAAGACAAGACGCAAATTCCCTGTTGTTGCTATAGAGCTCCAGACAGAAGCATGAGGGGGAGGTTAAACTGTACTGTGATGGCCTGAAACTACAAAGATATATTATGGCGTATCACAACTTCAAATAAAACACTAGCAAAGTGTAAAATATGGACGCTTTAAGGAGAAATCCATCTTAGCCAGGAGACTGTAAAAGGTAGAATGTGTTATTTTTCCAGCTCATAAGTTTGATGAAAGTGTTTGAAGGACGGAGCTGCACTCTCTTTACAACAGGCATAGCTGCAGACTGAGGCTGCAGATATCTGCTGCATCAGGATCTGCTTCCACTCAGTGTGGGCGTGGGATGGAGCTGAAAGAGCGTTTATGGATGTCTGCCTCCGCTTTTAACTTTCAAGCAATCTGTTTAAATTACCTGAAGCGAATTCATCAAAATAAAATGTCTAGTGACATCTACAAGGGATTAAAAAGTAGAAAGCTGAGTGGAAATGTGAGCACAACACATGTTCTTCTCCACTTGATTTACTCTTTACGGCACAATCTGATGTTCAGATGTGATGATAATGAGCTGAGACAGTAAAACTGACTCAGAAGAATTGGACCAATTATCTTTCAAGTCAAAGGCTTATTCAATATAATAACCCTGTCAAAATGTATACCCTGTCCCCACTAATGTGGATACTGATAACTGAATTTGGGTCTCTCGTCCATCTGCATTTTAAATCACTAAAGATTTTTACAAAAGCCGTCCAAAGTGCAGGTTTCAATACTCTTGTCTCTGTATATCTGTGTGTACATGCAAAACAGAGATATTAGCTCAGTTAACGAATACCCACTGTCGCTTTGTATAATGAGCAAGTGCCAAAGACAACAAGCAACGGTGACTAAATACGGTTGACAGGAGAATAAGTTCACTGAGCATACTCACAACGTTTCTCTCTGGTAATTGACTGATGGCTGATGTAGACTTTATTGCCACTCACTTGCTTGTTTGAGTGTTTGTAGTCATTCTTAATGTTCTCTTTGGACAGAGATATTTTACAAAACAAAGATTGTGTGGATGGAGATTTTTTAAAAATGTCCGCAGTATTGTAGCCAAGGCCTTTAAAATCTTCCCTATGAGATATGTTGTTACTCTTCACAGATTTATCCACTGTTCGTCCAAACTATTTCACTAAAATGGACGTTAAAATGTTTCCTTTCTTTAAATATCTAAAAGAAAAATGCAAAACTGTTCTTTAAATCATCATGCTATCATGTCACTTATGTATCAGTGATGAATTTACACACACGCATGCATGCACAAGAACACACACGCGATTCATCCTCACTGGTGTTTTCACTTGATTAGACTGATTGGATGCCTTCTCAGGAATCTGTGTTTGTGTGTGTGTGTGTGTAGTGTGTCTTGGTGCAGCTAACCAAAATGATTATCGGTGCACTGCATTTGGTGAGCGAACATATTTCTAGTCCCTGCAGCAGATTTTCCAACAGAGCAGAGTAACTAACACCTTGAGGGTGTGCAGACTCTTCAAAGTGTCAGCAAAGCTGTTTTTACTGGAATATATGAAAGAAAACTACTGTCACCATCATTAATCTGAGACGCAATGACAAAAAATAAAAACTTTTCCTGGTACGTAGTTACTAGAAGTACTAGACTCTGTCCTTGCTGATGTCCAGAGCTCCCACAAGAACGCCATTAAATTAATTCAGTATTACCTCTGATTGGTTCACTGGCCAATAATGGAAATGCTGATAATGATTCTGCACATCTCAATGATTCCATCAGACTACTGTGCGTCTGGGTCAACGTGCATGTGTGTGTCAGCAACAAACACTCTCTCTCTCTCTCTCTCTCTCACACACTCTCACACACACACACACACACACACACACACACACACACACACACACACACACACCTCATCCTTCCTTTTCATTTACCCTCTCACATCCTCCTCCTGCTCTTTCTCTCATTTACACCATGTAGTTATGAAACTATGACGGAACAATAGGCAGCGTTGTTTTCTGCACCCGATGCAGCTCTGATTTAAAAATGTTAATATTCATTATCATTGTGTAATTATTACTGCAGCTTTGGCAACTTAAGAATTTGTTGCATTATACTATGACTGTCTAAATAGCTAACTTATAAAGTAAAAAATTATAATAAAACAATAATAAATATGTTTTTTCGAATGAATCCACATGCAATAGGTACTTTGTGATTCTCATTGTCTGCACAGTAGTAACTATTTATTGAAGAAAATGAAAAAAGCTTGTATTAATATTTTACATATACGTCTCAAAGGGCTTTTCTGATTCTTAACTAATGCAAAGCTAAACATTGACTTATGATGAACTAGAAAGACACCTCCGCCCAAAAGTCCTCTTATGAAACCACATTTAACTCCAATACAGAACAAAAACAGTCTTGGTCCAGACAAAAACAGAAGTAGAATTCAATGCATGTCAGGCAGGTTGTAAATTAGTTTCCCCTCTGGGTTGGTCTGTGTGATACTGGGAGTCATACACACCTGAACACATACCCCACCTCTGTGTCTTACTATTACGTCCATTTTTAAAGGAACTGTTGTCTTACCATTTGTCCGGCTGGACCAATCTCTCCTCTCTCTCCCTTCTGTCCAACAGCACCCTGTAAAACAGATAGCATCATTACATCGCAGCTGGGCCGCTGGTCACACCGGTAGCTACCAGAGGACTGGGAAAAACCAACATCAGTTATCTTAATAAGATGCTGAGCCACCGCACGTCCCCAGGACAGCTGCCTCTGCATTCTTTGGTCAAGAGCCACAAGTGAGAAAGTGTATTTGAGCCATACATCAACATTTGTCAGTTTATATTGGCAGGTGGTTAGCGGCTCAATGCTAAGTCAATTTCTAATTGCATACATTTTGTGACCTTACTGCAGACAGGAGGGCGGCAAATGGCTCACAACACATATTTTATGACTATGTTTTCATCATAATTTAATATAACAGCTATGCTTGGGAATAAAAGAACTTCTGGTGCCATGTTTTGTATTTGTTTTGATTCCAGATTCTGCTCAGGGACCAGCAGTGTTTCTAAAAACATTTTTCTTTTGACCATGGTTCTTTCTTGTGTCCGATGAGTTACTGTGTGCAAATTGTTTCTATTTTATTGTAGAAATTATGACGTGCAGTAGCTATTGAATATTCCAAGATGTGACAATGCACCTGAAAATGTGACATCCACTACCTTTCAGCATGCACACAGAAACAAGCAAAGCCTCACCGGGGGCCCCTGAATGGAGAGTCCACTGGGCCCCTGAGGACCAGGTGGTCCTGGGGGTCCAGACGGGCCAATCTCTCCAACTGGACCATGAGATCCCTGTGAAAAACAAACACAAAGTTCATTCTATGATTCAACGTGAACAGGAAATGTTCAATGTGCTAAGAGAAAATTTTAGTTGGTCCAGTTAAGTGGCAATAAGGCAAAAACTCCACAACAGATGTTACTTAATTGAGCTTAATGATAAATGATTGT